TAAGAACCATGGATGTGCCAGCACAATCTATTTTTGAGATAAATTGCGTACATCTCTCTTTCGGCTGAAGTTTTTAAAGTTCTTTTTTCGAAAAAAGATGAAAATCCGTATGAGGTCATTTATTGAAGCGGAAATGATACACAGAAAACGCAAATAAATCCGCGATATTTCCAAAAACATTTTTTGCCAAATTTCGTGTTTTTGGAAGGCCAGTTCCCGCCGTTCTAGTAGATGGATTTTCACGAAGAAGATTTTATATCATCCGAAACGTAAAAAACCTTATTGATAGCGGGTACCCATATCATTCAGTTGACAGATCTAAAAATTTGGCCCGAAAAATAGGTTTTTTAGAAATTTGATCGCACAAAATTCGCACCTTCTGATGAGTATTACTCTGAAGCTGTGCATACTACATAAACAAAATACATATCAAATTACGCAGATTCGCGACTACAATAATCTTATAATCGATTTTTATAAATTCCTGTTTGCGTACTTAAGCTCGAAGTAAAATTCAAAAAACACCCAAAATCGAGCTTCAAAATGTCAGCATCATTTAAAGGTAGATGCAGTTAAAATTTTGAAAATTGATACATAAGGGACGTTGTCCCCATTTTATTGGCTTCTAGTTTTATTTTGACACGAAGACCGTGCAAATGAGTGGCTTAGTCACAAATCGATAGAGAACATAAAAAAACTGGTTCGCCTCAACCTGTTTTTACAAAATTTTTTACATTAAAGTAGACACAGCTTCCACCAAAATAAAGTTTGGAGGTCAATATCATGAACAGTTTGCAACGACAGATCAATTAACCCAAAATTATTCACTTTTTTCATATTCTTAAGTAATTCCGGAGTTATAAAGGGGTGAACCTCCGCTTCAGCTATGTTAAAAAATTGGCAATATTGCCCATATATACATATCGACCGATTTTAGGTATGAAAGCGCGCCTCATGGGTGGGATAAAGAAGATACGTTTCTACTTGTTTAATACAATCCACTGGTACGAACTTATGTATGCTTCAGATGCCCATGCAATCGGAGAGCGGAACCTTAATTGCTACCATTGAACTTTGACCTCTCAGCCATTCCGATCCTCACCAGAAGAGGATGGTAATTAAAAGATCCAGCAAGTTTTTGAAAGAATTATGTGGAAGAATAGTAAAACTTCGATTTCGAGGAGGAAAAATTACGACTCCCTCCAGAAGAGAATGGAAATTCCGATATTTATTTAACTAACTTCGACGAAAATAATTAAAGAATATCATTAATATAGAAAAGTACCTCGAGTCCTCCGAAAAACATTCCATACAATTTAGGATTATAGGTCTGATAGTCCATGAAAAAATATTCTTTAAAATTCCATCATTGTGGCTCTGATAGTCCCTTTAAAAACCCACACCAATAGCTATGGTAGTCCTTTAAAAAATAATACTTAAACACTACAATTATAGTCCTTCAATATATAATAATTAATAATTCATGCTTATAGCTCCTATAGTCATTCACAAAATCATTTTTGAAAATTCTCGCTACGATAGACCTTAAAAAATAATAATTAAAAAAATCTTTCAAGAAATACTATTAAAAATGCAGGCTTTAATTTCCGATAGCCCTTGTTCACACAAAAGTCAGGGTAAATATGACCCGCTAAATATTGACCGATTTTTATCAAAACAGGCATGCTTATTCTTTGGCCCTATCCCCTTCACCGGTGTTTGGGCCATAATTGCGGCCTCTGGAGCGACAGAAAAACCGACAAAAATGAAGTTTTCGGTCCATTTCATCTCCTAAATATTAACCGATCTTGTCCAAAAACAATAGGGGTCTTCATTGACCAGAACCCATCCTACATGCACAATTTCGTGAAGATTGGTGCATAACTGTGGCCTGTACCGTGTTTACAAATTATAATGGACAGACGCACGGACACACATGTCTAGATCGACTCAGCTAGTCGAGATATGACGATCGGTATACATAAAGGTGGGTCTAGGACCAATATTTCGAGGCTTTACAAACTTTTGGGGCTGCACAAAGCTATAATACCCTGACATCAAAGTTGTGTAGGGTATAAAAATCATATTTCTTAAAGAAAGTTGTATTTAAAAAAAAAAAACAAACTTACAGCTCTAAAAGTCCTTCCAAAATGATATTTAAAAATCCACGCTTATAGCTCTGATAGTCGTTCAAGAAATAGTATTAAAAAATCGTCGCATATAACTTCTTCAGAATATTATGACTTAAAATCCCCACAATCTACATTCCTTCAGAACATGATCTTTAAAAAAACCGACTATTATACTCATTATTTTAATTCTTATTTCATTTTTCTTCCAGAAATCTCCCCGAAGACTTGTATGTAGCACCATTGGATGCTGCGAAACATTGTAACTTAATTAACGAAAGTTGGTCTCACAAATACGATCAATCATTGGGTTTAATACAACAATCTATCGAATTCAATGGTGGTTTGGGTCTATTCAGGAAGGGTGAAGAACAGCCTTTATGTTGGATATTGGTAAATGAATTTTTAACACCAGGGTAAGGCATTCAACAATAATAGATGTTTAAATTTAAATTCTATATTCCACAATATTTTCAGATTCCTACACACCGTGCCCGCGGAAAGACGTAAAGGTTATGGCGAATTAATTCTGAAAATGGAACTGAAACGTTTACTTAAAATACACAATATGGATTTATTTACATTTGTTGTTGTCACAAATGAACAATCGCTGTATTTACACAAAAAATTGGGTTTTGAATCGGCTGCGAGAGTTATTTGGCTGGAAAAGCCGGAATAAAGGAAATTTAAATTTTAAGAAATATTATTGTGTTGGACCTTAAGAAGTTTTTTTTTTTATAAAACCACGCCTTTAGTTGGACCTCAAGATTTTTATACCCTTCATCACACTGTGGTACAGGGTATTATGTCTTTGTGCATATGTTTGTAACAGACAAAAGGAAACGAGATAGACACATGGTTCCTTTTTAGAATAAGCATAGAATCACTTTTTAAGTCGATTAATGCATGTCCGTCCGTCTGTCTGTCTGTCCATGTTAAATTGTAAACAAAGTACAGGTCGCATTTATGATCCGAATTGGATGAAATTTGGCATATGTCACTTATTTGGCCAAAGGACAAACCCTATTGAAATTAGGAGAAATCGGCCCAAATTTAGATATGGCTCCCATATATATTTTCGTCCGATTTAATGTAAATGGTGTACCAATGTCCCTAAACACGAAATTTGGCATAGCGTAATGAATTATGTCTAGAATGATGTTTGTTAAGTTTCCTGGAAATCGGTCCAGATTTAGATATAGCTTCCATATATATTTTCGTTCGATTTAAGGTAAATGTTGCGCCAAAGTGCCTAAATATCTTTCGATCTGCACAAAATTTGGCACAGCGTATTTAATTAGGTCTAGAATGATGTGTGTTATGTTTCCTGGAAATCGGTCCAGATTTAGATATAGCTCCCATATATATTTTCGTTCGATTTAAGGTAAATGGTGCAGCAAAGTCTCTATATATCCTTCGATTTGCACGAAATTTGACATAGCGTACTGAATTGATATTAGAATGATGTGTGCAAAGTTTCGTGACAATCGGTTCAGATTTAGATATAGCTCCCATATATATTTTCATCCGATTTTAAGTAATTGGTGCACCGAAATCTCTGAAAATCATTCGATTTGCACGAAATTTTGCACAGCGTATTTAATTAGGTCTAGAATGATGTGTGTTATGTTTTCAGAAAATCGGTCCAGATTTAGATATAGCTACTATATATATTTTCGTCCGATTTAATGTAAATGGTGTACCAATGTCCCTACATATCTTTCGATTTGCACGAAATTTGGCATAGCGTAATGAATTATGTCTAGAATGATGTGTGCTAAGTTTCGTGAAAGTTGGTTCAGATTTAGATATAGCTCCTATATATATTTTCGTCCGATTTTATGTCATTGGTGCACCAAAGTCCCTATATATCTTTAGATTTGCACGAATTTTGGTATAGGGTACTGAATTATGTCTAGAATGATGTTGCTAAGCTTCGTGAAAAGATCCATAGCTAGGGCGATTGACACAACGTACTGATGTAATAGGAATTAGTCTCTGGCAAATTTCCCTGAAATCGGTTCAGATATATTCTACATATGTTAGCATACATGTATGTAGAGTATACCCAAAGTGGTAAAGGGTATCATATAGTCGGCCGAGTCCGACTTTACTACTTCCCTTACTGGTTTTTTATAAATCCTCGCCTTGTGTTGGTCCCTGAGAAAATATTCTCTAAAAATCCACTACTTCGTCTTTGAGAAAATATTCTACAAAAAGAATCTACGTCATGGGTTGGTCCTTGAGAAACTATTTTTATAAATCCACGCCTTGTGTTGGTCCTTGACAATTTTTTTCACGCCTTATGATGGTCCTGAAAAATATACTTTTTGAATCCATAAAAAATTATTTTTTAAAAGCCATGCCTTCTTTTGGTCCTTGAAAATATTTATTTTAGAAACCAAACCTTCTTTTGGTCCTTGAGAAAATATTTTTTTTGTAATCCAAGCCTTGTGTTGATCCTTAAGAAAACATTTTTACAAAATCCACGACTTATATTGGTCTTCGAGATCCGTTTTTAAAATCCAAATATCCATTTTTTTTATTAAAATTGGTGTTAGTTTATTTCCGTGTGTTACTAACGCTATTCGGTATATCTAGGTAAATAATAGAAATGCATGTAGTACTATTTTATTTTTGATAGCTTATCTCAATAGGAAAGTTCTCATTGCAATTTACAATATGAGTACTTGTGAGCAATCGTAAACAAAATCATTTCTATCTAAGCAATTTAATAACAAAAGCACATTTTTATTCGAGTACATATGGAAAACTACAGACTTGTTCACAAAAAAAAAAATCTCTCAGTAAATTATTTGCAGTCGTCGGAGTGTGTTGATCGGAAATTTGTGAAATCGAGCAAATAAAAAAATGTCGGATATTTTGATGGAATGCTCTCAACAACAGCTTCGCGAGATGCTGGACATACTCAATACGAACTTACCTCGGCGTATACAACAACATAATTTCATTTATAGTTATCTCTTTCATTGGGAGAAAATAAATGCTAATCGTCAACAATTAAAATCGGATCGTTGGAATTTACGCTTTTATACACATCGTTATGGCAAGCCGGATAATTGTACTCTGATTAGTTTGAATGGATGTGGGGTGAGTTGTGGATTTTGTTTTGCAAATTTTGAAAATTTTTAAATTGTTGTTCTAGGATTACATTGTACTTTGTTTCACCCTCCAAGAGTCCCAGGAGGAACTTCGGGAATGTCTAGCGAAAACGAATTTAATACAATGGGAACCGAAAAGAATGCGTGTGGTATGCGATGAAAATATACATGTTATGGTGAAAGAGTTACTTATTCAAAGAAGTCAGAAGACAAATTGGACATGTACGCCCTTTGAAAATATCATGTATATTACAAAGGATAAAATTGCAGCACTTCAAGTTGATGAGTAAGTTGGAAACAATTCTTAGGTCATTGAAAAAATAAATTTTTAAAAATCCTCAACTGTGTTGGTTCTTAAAAAAATATATTTTTTTTTAAATCCATGCCTGTATTGTTCATATAATATTCCTTAAAAATTCACTCTCCAGGTGTCCTTCATACAATATTCCTTAAAAATCCACGCTTATGGCTCTGATAGTCCTTAAAAATGTTCTTAAAATTCCACGCTTATAGCTATGATGGTCCTTGAAAAAAATATTCTTTAAAAATCCACCATCTATAGGTCTATTGATCCTTGATAAAATATTCTTCAAAAAATCCACGCTTATGGCTGTGATAATTCTTCACAAAATGTTCTTTACAAATCCATGATTATGGCTCTCATAGACCTTGGAAAAAGATTTTTAAAAAAATTTAATTTTTTTTAAATATATAATTTTTTTATTCCTTTAGAAAACTTCCCGACGACCTGCACATAGCACCCTTGGATGCTGAGAAACATGCCGAATTCATTAACAATCATTGGTCTCACAAATATGAAAAGTCTTTGGGTTTAATTCGACAGTCTATTGATTTTAATGGAGGATCGGGACTCTTTCGTCGTGGTGAAGAACAGCCGCTATGTTGGATGTTGGAAAATGAATTCCTATCACCAGGGTACACAGTTCAATAACTTCTAAAGTATTTATAATTAAATAATAATTAAATAATAAATATTCGTTATATTTTTAATTTCAGATTCTTGTATACCATGCCATCGGAAAGACGCAAGGGTTATGGCGAACTAATTATGAAAATGGAACTGAAACGTTTATTAAAACTTCACAATATTGATTTGTTTACATTTGTGATTGTTACAAATGAACAATCGCTGAAATTACATCGTAAATTGGGTTTTGAGCCGGCTACCCGAATTGTGTGGATTGAGAAGTTTGAATAAAAAAAAAAACAAATTAGAAGAATTTAAATATGTTTAGATATATATTTAAAATACTAATTAATAAAATAAAAAGCAAAATTGGCAAATAAAATATTCTTTAAAAACTCCACGCCTTGTTTAGGTCCTTTCCAAAAATATTCTTTAAAAAATCCACGCCTTGTTTAGGTCCTTTCCAAAAATATTCTTTAAAAAATCCACGCCTTGTTTAGGTCCTTTCCAAAAATATTCTTTAAAAACTCCACACCTTGTATAGGTCCCAGAAAAAATATTCTTTAAAAACTCCACGCCTTGTATATGTCCCTGAAAAAATATTCTTTAAAAACTCCACGCCTTGTATTGGTCCCTAAAAAAATATTCTTTAAAAAAATCTACGCCTTGTATAGGTCCCTGAAAAAATATTCTTTAAAAAATCCACGCCTTCATTAGCCCTTAAAAATATTTAAAATCCACGCCTTCTTTAGTCCTTAACCAGTAAGGAAAGTAGTAAAGACGGACTGGGCCGACTGTATGATACCCTTCACCACTTTGGGTATATTCTACATATGTATCCTAACATATGTAGAATATATCTGAATGGATTTCAGGGAAACTTGCCAGAGACTAATTTATATTACATCAGTAGGATGTGTCATTCGACCTAGCTATGGATCTTTTCACGAAGCTTAGCAACATCATTCTAGACTTAATTCAGTACCCTATACTAAAATTCGTGCAAATCGAAAGATATATAGGGACTATTATAGACGCAATTCAGTACGCTATGTCAAATTTCGTGCAATTCGAAAGATATATAGGGTCTTTGGTGCACATATTACTTAAAATCGGATGAAAATATATATGGGAGCTATATCTAAATCTGAACCGATTTTCACGAAACTTTGCACACATTATTATAGACGCAATTCAGTACGCTATGACAAATTTCGTGCAAATCGAAGGATATATAGAGACTATGGTGCACAATTTACATAAAATCGGACGAAAATATATATGGGAGCTATATCAAAATATGAACCGATTTTCAAGAAACTTAACACACATCATTCTAGACCTAATTAATTACGCTGCGCCAAATTTCGGGTAAATCGAAAGATATATATGGTCTTTGGTGCACCAATTACCTTAAATCGGATGAAAATATATATGGTAGCTATATCTAAATCTGAACCGATTTTCAGGAAACTTAACACACATCATTCTAGACCTAATTAATTACGCTGTGCCAAATTTCGTGTAGATCGAAAGATATTTAGGGACTTTGGCGCACCATTTACATAAAATCGGACGAAAATATATATGGGAGCTATATCTAAATCTGGACCGATTTCCAGGAAACTTAATACAAATCATTCTAGACATAATTCATTATGCTATGCAAAATTTCGTGTAAATCGAAAGATATATAGGGACATTGGTACACCATTTACCTTAAATCGGACGAAAATATATATGAGAGCTATATCTAAATCGGAACCGATTTTCAGGAAACTTAACACACATCATTCTAGACATAATTCATTACGCTATGTCAAATTTCGTACAAATCGAACGATATATAGGGACATTGGAACACCATTTATATTAAATCGGACGGAAATATATATGGGAGATATATCTAAATATGGATCGATTTTTCCCAATTTCAATAGGGTTCGTCCTTGGGCCAAATAAGTGACCTATGCCAAATTTCATCCAATTCGGATCATAAATGCGACATGTACTTTGTTTACAATTTATCACCAACAGACGGACAGACGGACGGACAAGCATAAATCGACTCAGAAAGTGATTCTATGCATATTCTCAAGAGGAACCATGGGTATATCTCGATTATTTTTGAATGTTACAAACATGTGCACAAAGACATAATACCCTCTACCACAGTGTGGTGAAGGGTATAAAAATAATGGATTGAATCCTGGCAAATCCTGAATATTACTAAAATTTAAATTTAAATTGATATCCTTTGATATCAAAACCGCACACACATACACATCCACCCAAACTTATCACTTTTGATTGACGCATAAAATACATCGTTTTGACTCGTTAGTATTTAAATTTCAATAATAAATAATAATATTGTGGTGGTGCTTGTGGTCCATTTGCTTTTGTTTTCCATCCATCTAGCCAGCAGTAACTGTGGATGGTTGTGTGAGGCCAGGTCATTTGACATGCAAGTCAATGCACCACCATCGACAGCAGCAACAACAACAGTAACACCTTTACTTTGCCAGCCATTATTAATATTCAATAAGATGACTATATGGATGATGTGATTTATGGAGCCTCTCAAAAAAAGAAACCCAAACGAATGAAACTGATTTCGTTGGAAAATGATTTTCCACAAAAAAGGAAAATTGAGATGGAAAATGATGATGCTGATGGATGTCGATGGATAATAGCAACATCATACGAGGACATATTTTTATGGAATGCATTATTTTATGTGGCTATGCCATGCAAACACTTTCCCGCATACTGTTTTATTGTTTTTCTTCGCCTCGCTCTCTCCACCTCTGTGTAATGCGGTAGTTCGGAATAAAGATGTAAAATATTTTTTTTTTTCGTTTTTGTTTGTTTAAATCGCATTATTTATTGCGAATTCATGATGCTCGGTAATATTTTACAACATCATAGGGAGAGAGAGAGAGAGACAGAACTATGTATGTTAATGTGAATTTATATGTATGCATTTATGTATGTATGGGTGGTGTTCTGCATATTTGAATAAATTGTAGTAAAACCCCGAAAATTTTAGGTCATGCATGCATGAAGCTGTGAAATTTTAGCATATAGTGGAATTACTTTAATATGTAAATGCATTTGCAATAAAAGGTTCGAACCAGATTTATCACTTCTAATTTCAATGACATCGACAAAGTGAGAAATATTATAGTGATATTCGGAAATAAATGTGTGATATTAAAAAAATACGGAAATTAATTAAAATATCCATAAAAAAATCAACGATCTGTGTCAGTCCTTGAAAAATATTCTTAAAAAAATATATTAAAAAAATCATGCCTTGTGTAAGTCCTTGAAAAATATATTTATGAAATCCATTGAAGAACCAGTAATGAAAGTAGTAAAGTCGGACTGGGCCGACTATATGACACCCTTCACCATATGGGTATATTGTACATATGTATCCTTACAATTGTA